TTAAGTAAAAGTACAAATAACCAGTTTAATATTTACTTTAGTAAAAGTAGAAGTAACACAATGACAACCATACTTAAGTAAAAAGTAAAAAAGTACCTGATTTTAAATGTACTTTAAGTATTAAAAGTAAAAGTACTTGCATAACAATTGATTCTCTTAATGACTATTTTCTAATGATTAATAAAACATTTAATTCTAGCTCATTCAACCTAATACTCCTATAATGGTGTTCAATAATGATGGAAAAAAATTGAAATTTTCTGAAACAAACTTGTAATTAGGCAATATAAAACATGCTTATCCTTACTATATTTTGGCAGTAAACACAATTAATTTATGGTGTAATTCTGAACCTCTTGGCTTGCCATAATCCTAACCAAACGTATATTACACACGGTGTGTTTCCTATGCACGTAAAAACACATTTTCGCGTATAAATTGCACTATAAACACACTGCGTGCGAGACGCATTTAGTTGATGTATCTATGGCAACCAAACGTCACTGGTGAGACAAACGTGCAATGAACGGACGGTCAGATTACGTTTTGGCAGGGGAAAAACTGATCAGAAAATGTAACAGAAGTTGTAGAAATGTAGTGGAGTAGAAAGTATAATAATTGCTGCAAAATGTAACGAAGTAAAAGTAAAAAGTATGCACTATTTATTCTACTTAAGTAAAGATACGTGAAAAATGTACTTAAGTAAAGTAACAAAGTATTTGTACTTCGTTACATTCCACCACTGTGTGTGTGATATACAACCCAGAAGCGCTGCGTTGTTACACGACGTGAACTCACGCGAGGCCCACAGAAAAGGAAATGAATAGTTGAATAAAGAATAGTTGAACAGAGAGTTGAGTAGGTTTTACTTAATTTTATAATGCTGATATTTACATTTTTATTCGTTATTTTTGTGTATTTTTTTGCGCACGCAAAAGTGTTCTCGTCACTTGATAATCTTAAGGTAGTCAACACATTTATTCCAGTGGTTGATGCTGGCCACAGATATGGTGTGTTTTACAGTCAGTGCCTAAACTCGCTGGAAAAGCCCACATACTGGGGAACCTGACGGACCAGCAGCTGTTCTGCTCCGGATCCAGGATCCTCTAACAATAGATCCCGGGAATGTGGAATCCTAACGGCTCATCACAGGTGACATGCCGTCCCGTCATCATGCGTCTGGTTACAAGTAGAGCCAGACCGATATATCGGCAGGCCGATATTATCGGCCGATATTAGGCATTTTCCAAACTATCGGTATCGGCAGTTATAATGGCCGATAAATGAATATTTATAAAAATAAATTAAAAGCGGACGAAACATGCTTGAACCATGTCATGAGTGTTGTTTAGTTGGTCCACCAGAGGGCACTCTACACCGTTCCTGTTGGCAACACTCGTTGAGTTGGTCACGATACATACATTGCTTGAATAACAATTAAAAGAACATCCCCATCAGTTCTCTTAACTCAAATAAGCATGACAAAATTTGTGGCCGGCGGACGTTTCCTTGGCCAGTTATATTGAAAATGTATGTTTTAGAATTTGCAGTATGACGTAATCCATTGCTAAATTATGGTTCATCATAGATTAGCTAACCATAAAGCTAGCTAATGCCACTATCATCAGTCTGTTCGGTTGTGACAATAAAAGAAACTTTTAGAAAGTTTCTTTTTAAAATGCATTATCATATTATTTTGGTTAAAACTCATAAATAACTACAAATAACTAATGTTAGGGAAATCTGTTAATGTTTTGTTGCGCCTTTCTGAAATAAAAAATTTAAAAAATATCGGCCGATATATCGGATTTTAAAACCAAAAAAATATTTGTATCGGTATCGGCCTTCAAAATCGAATATCGGTCGGGCTCTAGTTACAAATTAAGGCTGAACAACAAAGTCTGACCTCTCTCGCCCCAGGATGTTCCTGCATTACAAATGCACATTGGGATTGTTTTGACAAGTTATTGCACAATCGTGATTCGTGTAGCAGTGATGAGTCCAAGAGATGCTGTCAGTGATGGTCCACACCTTCTTTAAGAGCTGTTCTGCACTAAAGTTTGGCTCTGTTGTCCCGATCGCTCCCTCTCCCCGGAGAGAAACCTCAGATCTCTGCGTCTTTGTGAAAATCTAGTTGAAAATATGTAAAACAAGTTATTAGGGCCGTGACTTGCTTTACTGTGATATGTATGGTAGAAAGTGGTGTTAAGCGGCTGATAAGTGTCACAGATGTTCAAATTATTTACCATTTGCGTTTTGTTTTTGTTTTTTTCAACTTGAATACATGTGAATCTTAATCCTAATTTACATCAGTATCATTGTTTTAATGTTGTTAATTGTTCGAAATTCACAAAAAAAAAAAAAAAAAAGCTCACGAAGAAGAATAAATCAGGAAAACTGTATTTAATCCAAACTCACTCAGTAAAAGCGACTTCACAACACTTGAGACATATTGAACTCGCTATACAGGACCAAACGAGGACCTAATAAGTTAATATATATAGTTAAACTTAATATAATATTTATTCATTTTGTTTCAGTTTTTAGTTTTTAAAATTTTATTGTATTATATTTTATTTCGAGTAAATAAATGTCGAATTTTTATTGTATTTAAAAAAATAAGATCCTGCTTCTGTCATTGACCCCAATTGTAGAAACAAAACATTTGCATTGTGTCACAGTTGTCAGTCCATTCCAGGACTGGTCTCAACCAGTTAGAGCTGACCTTTCCTGTTTAAAGTCTTTAAAATAACTTAAAACTGGTCAACACTCTGTCCCAGCAGGCTAATGACTGCATCAGAGATGACTGGTGTGTGTGTGTGTGTGTGTGTGTGGTATTGATTGCTCATAACCCTATGACAATATGTCTTGTTAGGACCTCACACAAGCAGAGCAGAAGTCCCCCACTGCGACCTCTGTGTCCCACTTAGCGGTTGCCATGACAACTGACCTTTATGTCTCTGGTCCTTCATTTTTTGGGTAATGGTTGCCGGGCTGCATTAGGGACAGAAACTCTCCTGTGGCCAACGGTTAGAGGCTGGCATCCCGTGTTTCCAAGGAGTACAATGTGACAATATCTTCCTAAGAAGAGGCATATCCAGACATATGGGTGTTTTTGTTTAGTTTTTGTTCAGGCTGTTATATGTAATGAAACAATAAGCCGTGACACGCCATGCTTTACTATGATTTGGTTGAAAGTGGTGTTAAGATGTTCAAATTATTTACCATTTGCATTTTGTTTTGTTTTTTCGACTCTCTGATTGGTGGAATTTTCCATACAATATCATGGGTAATGTAGTTTTTTTTAAACTACAAATTCTGCCGTTAAAAGGATACTTCACCTCAGGAAAGATGAATGTGTATTTAAAATGGGTCATTTCTGTAGAAGTCATGTGAAATTATTTTTGAATTTGGAGCTTTCTAGACTGAGAAAAGCCAGAAAATGTATTTTTGGCTAATGTGGATGAAAGACTACAACTCCCAGAATGCACTTGCTTCGCTGCCCTAGGAGACCACACCTACCAGTAACAGAGCGCAGTCGTTAAACAACAAGTCTAGGCTACTAGTGAGTCTCCGTGATGAGTCTGCCCGAAAATGTGTTTCGAATGAACTACATCTCCCAAGAAGCGAAACAACGAGCGAGATCTGCTGCTCGTGTGTGTGCAGTCTGGTACAAAACACTCGGCGTAATGTTACGATTATAATGTTAGACTATTGAAACAATGACAGACGTTAGCTTCAGTTAAGTTAGCTTCATTCATTGAGAGAAAATGTGCGCCTTTGGGGTTTGTAGTCTTTAAGTATTTTCACAGTCTTATACCTCAACGGTTTTATATCAAATTGTAACTTTCTTGACTTTAAAATGTATCTTTTAAATTGACAAACATCATATGTGTAATTCAGGCCACAATTTGTCGTCTCTCGCCATTGACTACCATTCAATGTTTTTCCGTAATAAAGACCCTTGGTCGACCAGAAGGGAAGGGGAGGGGCTTAGGTTCTCTATTGTCCTTTACATTTTCACGCCCTGTGATTGGTTGCTTTACATGTCAGTCTGGGCGGTCCTTGGCCAATGAAAGCTGACCTTCTAAAAGAGCTGGCTGTGGTAAACTCAATCAAATCAAAATTTGTTCTGCAAAAGTAGAATAGTAAAGCAAAGTTTTGTTTATACTTCCTCAAAGATCCTACATTTTTAGATTAAAATATACTTAAAATATGTTTGTTTGGGGTTTTGTGTGTTTCTGATGTCACGGATATATGTGCAAAGTTGCTTGCAGAGCCACACGTGTTTCATGCTTGGACTGCTTGAGTTGCTGATGTGATAAATCTAAGTAACAGAGCATGCTGTGTGTGAGGATGAGTGCGGAGGGACTCAACAGAGTTTCTTCAAATATTCACCATGTGAGCTGAGCTGACGAAGAGCAATAGCTTTTAGCTGGAATCTAAACTGGATTAGGATGCTTTTAGTGAGCATGTGATTAGATATGTCTTCATGCATTTATAAAACTAATGTTCAGAAAGTACTAACCTAATCAGCATTCTCGCTGCATAGAGAAAGAGTGCGAAGATGTGAATTGATAAGTCCAATTTCTTCGAAAAACAACTTTTTAATAAGGTCTTTTTATGACATGCTATTTAGTTCAGGTTATATCATTGAGCTATGAGACATTGAATGGGGTCAGTATGCTTTTATTGAATGTATGGTAAAATTCTTGTAATAACAGTTGTTTATTTTTGTATTTGTATTATTTAGGTGCTTATTATGGTTTTATTGTAATATTTTGTACGCTTTTGGCACCTGCCCAGGGACTGCAGATGACAATTAGCTTTTAGCTAAATCTAGTACAGTACATATATTGTATATATTGTCCCTGTTAAATAAATAAAATGTCAGCGTGAATCCCCTAAAAACCTTTTGTCTGTTCTTTGATATCACAAATCAGAAACGACTGTGATAAGTCTCATCTAATGAATAATGTGTTTTTCTTGTGTCTTTGCAGGGCGAATATCGATGAAGTTGAGACTGATGTTGTGGAAATAGAAGCCAAGCTAGATAAGGTATGAATAAAATCTATTTGAAATAACTTGGTGAGAAAACGAAATGGAAGAACAGCTATCAGAAATATCATGTCCTGGTCATGTCCGAGGATATTGAATTACTGGGGTTTGATCAATGTGTTGCTCTAACAATATTGACTGCAATGGATTAATTAGTCAGGATTACATTTAGAAAACCACTTCACTTCTTGCCAGAAGGCTAATTTTGTATAAATGGAAAGAGTCCAACATATGGACCTTGTATTAAGGACGTCATGTATGATATACAGTTGGAAACAATCTGATATTCGGAGATTTTTTACCATTTGGCAGCCTTTTTTAAGCCTTTTTTTCTTTAAGCCTTTTTTGAACTCTATGATTTAAATATATATATATACTCTCGAAAAAATACTGTTTTTTTAACCCAACTTTGGGTCAAATATGGACAAACCCAATGGCTGGGTTACATTTTTAAATTCAATTTAAACATTTTTAAATGAAAAATTTTAACCCAACGTTTATTTGTCCATATTTGACTCAAAATTGTGTTAAAACAACCCAGCATTTTTAGAGTGTATGGTTTAAATGATTTTTTAATTTTTAACCCAATGGCTGGGTTTGTCCATATTTGACCCAAAGTTGGGTTAAAACAACCCAGCATTTTTAGAGTGTGTCTTTCCCTTATTTAATTGAGATGTTGGTTTGAGGCCTGGCTAACTAAGGACTAGCGCATTAGTGCATGGATAAAACAGCACAACAAATGTGCGCAGAGCTAAATCCCAGCTCGTACGCCATACAGGATTAATGGAGATTGGGATGCTGAACATTAGCATCAGGAACTCCAGTTTTGTAGCTCTCAGCTGCTTCGGGGTATTATTAGAAGCTCCCAAATCTGCCTACAAGGGCAACGTCTGCTTATTATTGCAAGTTTTTTTGCAATATGAAAAGCCCCAGATTTTGAATTAGCACAAATGTGTAAGTGTGTTAGCCTACTCAAATAAAAACTAGACCAAAGAGGCTAGTCTGTGTGTGTACATACACTAACTAAACTAAATGCAAGATCACACAGCCCCAAATATTCATCAAATAAACAGGTTAAATAACATTTTATTGACTATATAGAATAGCATTTTTTATATACAGTATATGAAGGCCTTTCATTTAGCCTATTACAAAAGTGTTGTTTTGATAACTGAACCTACTCTCAAAGCATCTTAGCGTGCTAACGATCACTGTGAGACTTGGCATGCTAATGCCGTGAACACACTACACTATTTTCAGAGTTGTCGTATCGCTGTTCTCCTGCCTCTACACGACTGTCTGGGTTAGCATTTAGCTGCTGTTGTGTGCACATTAGACAGCGTATCGGCCATACATTGCACAACATTTTAAGAGGAAGCATCGCAGATGACTCTGTCTGGTCTACAAACTACGTTTTACAACCAAACATACAAGTGTGATAATAGTCCGAGTGATTCAGCGAAATGTAGATCTACATCTGGGGAGCGATGTTTTTTTCCTAGGATGGCAGGGGAAGACTCATAAATGCCATTAACCCCAGTGACGGGTAGGTTTAGGCAGAGAATGTCTAATTGAAGAGAATTGGCACGGGCTGCTTACTTCCGGTTTCTGGACTGGCTGCAGTAACACGTCTCTGTCCATGCGGGGGCGCTCGCGGTCGAGTGCAGAATGAATGGGAGTCAATGGGGTTTCACCCCTAGAAATCAACTTTTCTCAGGATGTAATTTTTTGTCAAGGAATTTGAAAGTTGCATTCTAAGATAATACACTCAGCTGAAAATTGCATGTTTAAGTTCACTTTTCTGTTCTAAAAATCCGTTCAAAACGGTGATGACGTCACACAATAGCAGAATGCTAGCGTGTTCTGGCCAACAACGGCCTAACCTGTAAGAAATCAAAAGGACATAAGTACTCGTTCATTCGACTTTTGGCCTATAATCTATATTGAACTTGCGGAATCAGCAATAAAATCTATGTTGATTTAACGACAAGCAGGTGAAAGACACATTTAGCCGTTTAGTCCCATAGACTCCCATTCATTCTGCTCTCGCTCATGATCACCTCCAGTGGAATTCTAATGGAACTGCAACCAAGATGATACACAACGGGGCTAATAGGAAGTGCCAAGGCTCTCCGTTAGATGGGCTCTGGGTTGGGGTAGGTCATAGATTTATATACACACAGTAATGTAACGTTAAGTCAACGACATTCGTAAACACACTGAAAAGCGATTATGCGTGTTGATAGCACACCAAAAATGGAAATACAAATCGGCGTCATGCATGCGCCATTTCATGAGATCAGTCTGGTCAAACTGAGATGATCTTTGGTTCACTGCAGTTTTAAAATAAAATATTCATATTAAAGCATAAAAGCATATTAAAAACACCACATAGATGTATATCCCAAAACCGAATCAGTGAGAACAGCATGACTGCAACCAATACAGTCAGCAGATGTTTTTAAGTTTGATCAGTGACCAACCATGATGATACTATATTAACTTAATTTCAACCATATATATAAAAGTGTGTTAGTGTTTTTCTTTTATAGCTAAAGCAATTATGTTTTGGCATTAAAAGAATAGACCCAAATGACCAATAAAATCAATTCACGTCAAGAAATAAGAATTCATTTTTGACACAGACACTTGGCAATAAGCAGATGATGTAGAAAAATGTGTGTACTACAGTCATTGCCAAAGTTTTGGCTGCGAAACATATATTTCTTGATAACTATAAACTGTTTTCTGTCTCTCTGTCCATCAGCTGGTGAAGTTATGCAGCGGTATGATCGAAGCGGGTCGTGTGTACGTCAGTGCTAATAAACTCTTCGTCAATGGCATTCGAGACTTGTCTCACCACTGCAAAAAGGAGGAGATGATCTCAGTAAGTTTCCCAGACAAGTATTTATTTCTAAATGATCCGAGTCAAATGACTCAGATAATGGTGAGACCCTCATGAGCTGTGTTGATTTTTCGGTTATTTGCTTCATTTCAGGAATGTCTTGAGAAGTGTGGAGAGAGCCTTCAGGAAATCGTCAACTATCACATGGTAAGACGCATTTCCCCAGGCTCGCTCAGCATGGCCACATGTCCATAAAACACACACATACACATTTCAGCCAGGGCCCGTAATGATTCATCATATGTTGCCATAATGACCTGGCTCTCTCATGGGTGTTTTCATTATGAAATCGTGTAACGTGTGCCGTGGGGCGTAACTCAAACCAGAGAACGTGGATCTCTTTACACATCATATGTGGCTGATTTTTTCCACATGCCACCCAAAAGCCGTCTGCGGAGTCATAAACGGCCTCCTGCTTCACAGGTTTGATTTGAGTATTGAAAATGTTGCCACTTTTATTCAGAAGAGAGTATAATAAGGACAGGAAATGTTCAGGAACCTTTAAAGGAGTAGTTCACTTAAAAAAACCCTTTTGCTGATAATTTACTCACCCCCGTGTCAACCAAGATGTCCACGTCTTTCTTTCTTCAGTCGAAAAGAAATTAAGGTTTTTGATGAAAATATTCCAGGATTTTCTCCATATAATGGACTTCAATGGGGTCCAAACGGTTCAAGGTCCAAATGAGAGTTTCAGTGCAGCTTCAACGGGCTTTAAACGATTCAAGATGATGAATAAGGGTCTTATCAAGCGAAACGATCGCTCATTTAATAAATAAATAACAAAGTTTAAGTTTTATAAGCTCAAATGCTCGCCTTGCTCTGTTCTGTGATGCGCGTTCGTGACTCTCCTGTTCGAACTCGTTTATTAAAATGAACAAATCTTTTTTGATTCATTTCGTTCATTTTGTTCGTTGAATCAACCAAATGACTCAACCATTTTGATGAAGTTCGAACAGGAGAGTCACAAACACGCATCACAGAACAGAGCAAGGCGAGCATTTGTGCTTATAAAACTTAAAGTTTTTTATTTATTTATTAAATGAGCGATCGTTTCGCTTGATAAGACCCCTATTCATCATCTGGAATCGTTTAAAGCCCTTTGAACAGTTTTCACTGAAACTCTCATTTGGATCTTGAACCGTTTGGTTCCCATTGAAGTCCAGGAATGTTTTCATCAAAAACCTTCATTTCTTTTCGACTGAAGAAAGAAAGACATGGACATCTTGGATGACACGGGGGTGAGTAAATTATCAGCAAAAGTTTTCTACTCCTTCAACATGAAATGGGAATTGAAAATGTTGCAAGCCGGATTTGAACTTGCATTGGTCGCATGAGCACAACAGCTCAATGTAAAATGGTTTATACATTTGAAACCATGTCTCGTTCATTCCAGCAAGTGGCTACTCACATTTATTGGTTAATCTGAGAAAGAGTACCTCATCACTCAAGACTTTTTGGGTGTTTTCCTGTTCTAGAGGATCGTGTAATTGAAAACAGAGAGTTGCAATCAGTGTGTAAAGCCCTACATGTCTCCTGTTACCACAGCCACCTTCACTTTTAAAGGAAGAGGAAATACCAGGCCTGTGGGATAAAGGACTTGTCGGTCGGTAGACGGCTGATCCCTTCCTGCTCTCGGCATCAGCAGTGTCTGAACAGTCGGACGTTTGCTCAGTTCTCGCTGCTTTTATGGTTAATTAGACGGGTTTATTCTTGTGATAAACTGTTTTTCTGAGACGTGACTGTGGTGAACACTGAATTCCTGGAGTTTACCAGAAACACATCTTGGTCAAACCCTCAAAAGAATATGTTTACAACAATTTGGTGGAAACTTTTGTCGCTTCACTCAGTTGGCATTACAGACCGACCAGCAAATAATCAACAACAAAAAAAAAAGAGCTTGTATGCAAGATCACAAATTATGGTAAAAATCAGTGGTGGAGGAAGTACTGAATCTCAGTACTTAAGTAAAAGTACAAATAAACAGAGAAATATTTATTTTAGTAAAAGTAGAAATAACACAATGACAACCGTACTTAAGTAAAAAGTACCTGATTTTAAATGTACTTTAAGTATTAAAAGTAAAAGTACTTGCATAACAATTTATTCTCTTAATGTCTATTTTCTAATGATTAATAAAACATTTAATTCTAACTCGTTCCACCTAATACTCCTATAATGGTGTTCAAAAATTATGGAAAAAAAATTGTTGTCACCATTTCTGAAACAAGCTTGCAATTAAGCAATATGCACATCATGCTTATCCTTACTATATGTTTGGCAGTAAACGCGATTCGTTTATGGTGTAATTCTGAACCTCTTGGCTTGCCATAATCCTAACGGTGTGTTTCCTATGCACATAAAAACAAATTTCCGCGTATAAATTGCACGATAAACACACTGCGTGCGAGACGCATTTAGTGTGACCGGGTTGATGTATCTATGGCAACCAAACGTCACTGGTGAGACAAACGTGCAACGAACGGACGGTCAGATTACGTTTTGGCAGGGGGAAAACTGATCAGAAAATGTAATGAAAAAGTAACAGAAGTTGTAGAAATGTAGTGGAGTAGAAAGTAGAATAATTGCTGCAAAATGTAACGAAGTAAAAGTAAAAAGTATGTACTATTTATTCTACTCAAGTAAAGTAAAGATACGTGAAAAATGTACTTAAGTAAAGGAACAAAGTATTTCTACTTCGTTACATTCCACCACTGGTAAAAATGGTGAATGGACTGCATTTATATAGCGCTTTCAACAGACCCATGGGCACCAAAGCGTTTTACATATGCCTCACATTCACCCATTCATACACTCATTCATACAGCGACAGTGTAAGATTATTGAAATTATGAGTACAAAGTAAAAAAGCTCACAAGTGACTCATCGGTTTTGGGAGTATGGACGTTGTACTTCACACAGAACATGTTTTTGCTCAAGTTCATCTGTTGCGCTCATGTGTTTTGCAGCATCTCAGGCTTGACACAGCCTTCTGAATATAAGTTAATAGAAGTTCAGGTTTTTAAAAAAGCATCTCTAGACCACCTTGTATTACTTTTTATTACCTTGTATTACTATAGCCTCTTGCATTTATGAATGAAAAACTGCTTACTGCAAAGCATAACAGAGATGGTGGTGGTGATGGCGCAGTGGATAAGACACATGCCTTTGGTGTGAGAGACCCGGGTTCGAATTCACTGTGGGACACTAATGTGCAAGATACTTAAAGGAGTAGTTCACTTTAAAAAAATAACCTTTGCTGATAATTTACTCACCCCCATGTCATCCAAGATGTCCATGTCTTTCTTTCTTCAGTCGAAAGGAAATTAAGGTTTTTGATGAAAACATTCCAGGATTTTCTCCATATAATGGACTTCAATGGGGACCAAACGGTTCGAGGTCCAAAAGACAGTTTTAGTGCAGCTTCAAAGGGCTTTAAACGACACCAGACGATGAATAAGGGTCTTATCAAGTGAAACGATTGCTCATTTAAAAAAAAAAAAACAAAGTTTAAGTTTTATAAGCTCAAATGCTCGCCTTGCTCTGTTCTGTGATGAGCGTTTGTGACTCTACTGTCCGAACTCATTCATCAAAATGAACGATCCTTTTTCCGAGTCAATTCGTTCGTTTCGTTCATTGAATCAACCAAATGACACACAAAAAGATTCGTTCATTTTGACAAATGAGTTCGAACAGGAGAGTCACAAACGTGCATCAGAGCAAGACTATTACTATAAGCTAATACTATTGTACTTCTACTTTTGTTGTAAGGTGACCTTGGGTGGTCTGAAAGGCACCTAAAAATTAAATGTATTATTATTATTTATTATTAAGATGAGCATTTGAGCTTATAAAACTTAAACTTTGTTATTTATTTTTTTAAATGATAGACCGTTTCGCTTGATTAGACCCTTATTCATCGTCTTGAATCGTTTAAAGCCCTTTGAACAGTTTGTACTGAAAGTGTCTTTTGGACCTTGAACCGTTTGGTTCCCATTGAAGTCCATTATATGGAGAAAATCCTGGAATGTTTTCATCAAAAACCTTAATTTCTTTTCAACTGAAGAAAGAAAGACATGGACATCTTGGATGACACGGGGGTGAGTCAATTATCAGCAAGTTTTTAAAAAAAAATGAACTACTCCTTTAACCCCTAGTTGCTCCAGAGGCGTGCGAACTCTGACATGTATAGCCATTGTAAGTCGCTTTGGATAAAAGCGTCAGCTAAATGAATAAATGTAAAATGTAAATGTAGATTAAAAAAAAAACACATCTAAAACGGGAAAGAGCTTTGCAATTGACTCTGCAACTAGAAATCCGAGGTGTATTTCTACAGACAGCATACAATTTTTCAGTTGTTAAAAAGAGTTCTGGTTAAATGTTGTCATAAATGAATAATGTTGATATCATTTAAATAAATAATAATCCAAATAACACATTCAAGGTAGATAACATTTAACAGCACAGTAATAAGTGTTTGAATATGTCTTGTGTCTCAGAAAAGGTGTGTGTCTATGGGAGGATTGACAGATAAAGCCTGTGTGCTGAAAACAATATTACTTAAATTCACTCCTCTTGTTCCTGCTCTCCTGTTTTATCAGGGTCAAAGCAGTTAACCTGTCACTCTATAAATCTGACGTCTGGCCATTTTACTCCGGGATGTAGATAATCTGTCTGTCTCATAAATCCAGGACGCCCTTCGCTGCCAAATCCCTGTCTCTATAGATAGCTTCTTTTTTTGGTTAATAAACAAGGTTTACTACCACTTTCTGTTTGTGTCTCTCGTTCTCCAACCAATAAAATTAGTATATAATATTAGTTTTGCCATTTTTCTACTTTTATTGTCATAGTGCTCATGCTGAGTCACCATTAAAGCTTAATGAACTTTAAAGCAAAGAAGATGCATCGGTGCACTTGTAGTGTAGTTTGGGAGATGTACAGTGAATCTATAGTAATTACAGTAATTGACTGAAAGAATGTGTGTCTTTTCATCAGGTAGTGTTAATATGTCTTTTACAGCTTATTGAGTCAGTCATAAATTGAAGTAACTTGTCGAAGTGCCTCCCGACTGAGTGTAATTACTGATATTATCTATGGCAGGGGACACTATAACAGAGGCCACAGAAAGAGAAGTAATGAGAGCATGTGAT